GACTTATGCCAAATTACATTATATAAACATAATTAAAGGGTTAGCTTTGTTTGAATCTGTCATTCTAAGCAATAAAGATGTCAGATAATTTATTGTTGCGTTTTGATACTCACCCTATTAAGCTAATAACAGTTTCTGTGTATGCTTGTATGTATATGTGAGCAGTGTTCATGAAGTTGGTCTGAAGATGTTGTTGATGGAGTCCAGGAACATTGTCTGCCACAAAACTGCTTCACAGAGTTTGTTTTTAAGCCTGGATGCCTGAGGATTCCAAAACTGCTTGGGAAGGCTGAGAGGGATAGAAGTCCCTCGCTGCACATTGGTGGCAGCAAGGAACTGAGGAGGAGAGCAGGGAGGTGCTGGCACCACTGGTGGGATAGAGCTGGGCTCGTGTGGGGTGAGTTGTATGCATTAAAGGTGGGACCCCTGCAAAACAACAATTGTCAAACTGTGATGTGCAAGGATTTAACAACATAAAACATTAAAAGCACATGATACTTTTCTTGGAAGAAAAGATTTTTAATGAGTTGTTTCATCTGCACTGTAGACCCTTCATGCCTAATATGTTTCACTTTGCCTAGCCTTGTCCTTGTTTTTAGACTGGAGGGACAGAGGTGTGGCTATCTGGCTTATTGAAGATGGGGGAGGATTTGGCTGGGTACCTGCTTGTGCTCTGAGTACCAGACTAGAGCATCCCTGGTGCTGTACAGGACAGAGCAGAGCAGTGGCCAGAGCCCAGGACATGTCCATCCTTACCTGGCAGGGAGCTGGGGTGGTGTCAGCTCATGACAGTAGGTGCTTCCTACGCTGGGGCTGGTGCAGGCTGATGTGCTGGGGTACACTCAGCTTCTGGAGCAAAAAACCACTCTCTTCCCCCCCTGTTTTGAGACCTGTGTTACAACCACTAAATCAATGGAAAAACAAATCCAAATCCTGTCGAGTACTAGGACAAATATCGTTAAGGTTATTTTAGGGTTTATAAAAAATATTAAACTAGAGAGTAAAATACACTTTATTAAACTGTCTCAATTTGTAGTCACATACGTGGACTCTCTACTAGGAGAAAAAGTAAGATGTCTCTAAGACTTGCATTATCAGGGTCTAAGAGTATTTATGCATTAGTAGGTGCAATTATCCTCTTGAAATCTGCTGTTAAGATAGGCTTTGTTTAAAGTCCTTTTGGCTGCTGTTGAGTGCACACATGGAGCAGTAACACGCAGTTTGTTCACCTCTCCAGAACAGTGGGTTCACACAGAGCTGAGTTTGTCAGTCATTTACCATTCCTATAGCATAAAGCCTCCTATGTAATACTGAGACGTTGCTGTTGGATGCCTGAACAGCCTGGGCATACTAGAGGATTTAAAAAAATAGTTCAGTTAAAGACTAGGGCAAAAGTAGTATGAGTTTTCTGTTTCAAATTAAACTCTTAAAAGCCTCTTTCCCAGATTTCTTTCATTCGAGTTTTGGATCCAATCCTAAAAGTTGGGTCTAAACCTCCAAATTACACCGCAGTTTGTGCCCATGTCAGTGACAGGCTGGATCCAAATAGCAGATATAACCACAGTGAAACCCAGCAAAGCTTTAGGTCCTCTGCCCACATTCAGCAGAGCCCTTCTGCTTTGGGGATCCTCTCTACCATCCTGGACCCCCATCTGTCCCCCCACAGCCTGCCCACCCCCTGTCTAATCCACCCAGGGCCAGTCTGGGTAAATATAATCTATGACATAAATATAACAAGATCCATGTTATCTGTGAGGACTGGTAGGGGTTAAGTCGTTTATAAGCTCAATTAAGAAATTAAACATGGTGGAAGACATGCAAAGCTTCCCAGTTATTCTCCAACTATCACAACAAACTACATTTTAGGCATGGTATCTAGCAGGGTATCTGGCTTTCTAATCTGAGGTTTGGTTTGGGCTCATCTCTACCCAAAATATTATTTTAACCACTCTTTGTATTTCATTTCCATACTTTTCCTTCGGTATGCTTTGAGAAAATATTCTGCCAAAGACAGAAATGCTTTGAGCCTGAAAAACATTTTTTTGCCATGTATATGGAAGATGGTATTTTGCTTGGCTTAGCTTGTAAAATACATGGCACAACCTGCATGAAATATTTGAGGCTCTGAGGAGACATGAGCAATTCTTGAAGAAAAAAAATTACAAAAGTTAGTTTTCATTCAATGGTCTCATTTGCCTACAGCCACACCCAGATGGGAGGTGTGGGGCAGAGCAAGGAAAAAGAGGTGATTTATGAACTTGTAAAATTGAAGTTGTTATAAAGTTACAAAGAAACAAAACAAACCCCCCCCAAAAAAAAAAAAAAAAAAAAAAGAGAAAAGCTCAGAGTCATGTTAAGTTTTCTACATATGTGAGCAGGAATTAAACCATTAATGTTTGATAAAAATTCATGAGGCTTTCAAAGCACCAGGGGTTGAGATGAAAGCTCTGCCTCATGTGCCCAAGCCGTGGGTAAAAGGGCTGCCAAGTGCCCCTGTCCTGACCTGGGTGGGCTTTTCCTGCAGAGGGTCACAGTATGGGGTGGAAGGCTAATGGGGAGTTAATTTGGTTGTAGGATAATTTAGGCTGGCAGGGATTTCTGGAGCTCTTCAGTCTGACTTCCAGCTCCAAGCAGAGTCAACAGCAAGTCTCTACTTCCATGGGCTCTTCTCTGCCCTTGGAGGGTCTATGCGCCTCCCAACAAAGGTGTGGAGAAGAGATGGCAGAAGCAACTGAATCTGGTTTAACCTGCTCTTTAGCACTGAGCCCAAACTAGAGCAGGCCCTGGGCTGCCACATTTCAGGCTGGTGCTCCTTAGAGGTCCCAATATCAGAGGGAGGCTTGGGGGCAAAGTTTGTAGCCACTCAGCCTGTCCCCCTGACAGTTCCCCCATGGCATGGTGCACACAGGCTGTTTGATCATGCCTCTGAAACATGTGACTTTGATTTCCATCCATTTGCTCTGCCTGTGTCTAGATTTTGGCTACAAGAAGAGTCTGTGATAGTGAGCACTGCTCCAGGTGCTGTGTTGTCACACTGCCTGCCAGCCACATGTTGGGTCAAGGAAAGGGTAACTGCCCATCATTTATACCCTAATATTCTCAGGTCCTTATGACATCACACCAGAGCAAACCAAGATGATAATCCTACCTCTGAGATTTCCCAATCCAAGCCACAGCCCCATTGAGGAGGAAGATATGGGCAGAGGAAGGCAGAGGAGGAGTTGGAATTGCTGCAAGACACAGCAGATGTAGGACATGAGCTGGCTCCTTTGACACTGCTCCTGCTGCAGCTGGTGGGCACTTTGTGCTCTAGTTTGCTTCTAGTTCATTGCTTAATGCCTTGCCTGGCAGTTTTCCTGACATGCCTCCACCTGCAAGTGAACAGCTTCTCCTGCAGCCCCTGGCACAGCAGACTGTGTCCCAGCTGGGAAAGTTTCTCAGTGAGATGCTGGAGGGCCTGGGAAAGAGAGACAGGACTTGGAAGGGCCAGCTGGTCCCTGGGCCAACCCCCTTGCTCCATCCAGGCACTTTTCCACTTGTCAGGGGAGTTTTTCTTTATCCAGACAAAATTATTAGGAAGGCAATAAAATAGTAAAGCTGAGGCTCTGTGGGCACTGCTTGGGATGCGGCTTGCTTGCTTCCGAAAAGCACTGATTTTTTCTTAAATTATGAAGTGTCCCTTGAAGGTGCCCTGGGGTGCAGCCCAGGGCAGTTTCTTCAGCTCAGGGGAAAGTGTGTCAATCTGGTAGCTATGGGACAGATGGAATCAGCAACCTGCTAAGTTTATGGTTTGGGGAAATTTGCAAAGACAGTGGTGGCATGGGCCAGTCCATTCCAGTGGCCTCTCTGGCTGCAGCACAGCATGGGCTCCACACTAGCACCTCAGTCATGTCCTGTGTCACTTCAATGCCTCTTTTGTCATAACTAACAGGAAAAAAAATCCTTTTGAATGCAAGAGACATTCTCCTTGTTGTACTCCAGAAGCAGAGCATGCGCACAAGGCCCTGGTGCTTTTGCTGCAGGAGTCATTAAATCTGCTTAATTTGGCTGTATCAGGGTGCCTGGTGCCTGATGCATGGCAGGCAAGAAAACATCAGCACACCAAAGTGTGGGCACCCTCCTGCAGGAAGACCTGGACTTCCTTCAGAAAGGGGAAGCAGGGAAATTGGAATTGGAAAACCACTCGGAGTGATAGCTTGCCCCTCCTTTATTAGGGAGCAGGCAGGACCATCACCCATGGCGTTCTCCAGTGAGAGCAATTTGTTGCTACTGTGAAGAGAGCAGCCACTTTTTTTGGCACCATGCATAGGAGCTTCAGGGCCCGCTGGAGGATGGGCTCAGGTGATGGAAAAGGATGTTTTTGCTTAGGAGAGGCAAAGTGTTGAGCATCTGATGTAATGAGCTGAGCCATGAGGGGAGGGCTGATCACTACTTGACCATGGCAGTACAGTGACCAAATAGCCCCAAGGATGTGTCTGTTTCACTGTGTTACCTTCTGGTGTTTGGGGGAGAAGGAGCAAGCCCCCCTGCCCTAAGTACTGAGACAATGGGCTGTGGCTGTTGGAGGCACTGAAATACCCACCCAGGGTAGCAGAGACCACAGGGGCCAAATTTTAGCAGAGGAAGAATGAGAGAAAGGGAATGAAAAAATTCTTGGTCCTGGACAGAGTGGTCAATCCTCCTGATGCAAAGTAACCATTCCGTTGCCAAGCAACCAGTCAGTTGCCAAGCAAACATTCACGGTGAGTTGCTGGGGCTAGGCAGTAACCCTAGGGCCCGTTTCCAGGGCTGGAGCAGCTGCAGGGGCACAGGGCTGCAGAGGCCAAAAGTCAAGGAGGGTCCCAGGAAAGCGAAGGCAAGAGGCACCCCCAGGCTCATCCCCTGCACAGCACCTCCCCTGCACTGCTGAGCCCTCAGGCCCTGCAGCTCCTGGGCTGACTTGGAAGAGAAGTAGTGCCAGCAGGACCTGGGCTCTCTGTTTCCTACTGATGGCTGAAGCGATGGATGCCTGGGGCAACAGGGACATGGTAGCCCACTTCTCTATGCTGTACAGGGCGAAGCTCCCATCCTTGCTGAGGTGAGTGGGCTCTTCCACCTGCCTCCATCCTCTTCTCCTGTCTCCTCCATCCCTCCTTCCCCCATGATGACAAACTCCCATCCCAAGCCTCCATCACTTCTGTCTCCTCTTGTACCTCCCTTCTCCAGCCCTGTTTCTCCCTGTAACACCCCACTGCTCTGTCAGAGGGATCCCTGCTGGGGAGGGCTGGGGATGCCATGCTGTCAGATGGGGTCTGAGATGGGGTTGAGTTACTCTGCCCCATCACCCCACCCAGGACACAGTTCAATACCCAGAGCAATCCAACACCCTGCCAAGGTACTGGACCTTGAGGAAAATGTCTGTGGCAGGGAACTCACAGTGGCAGAGGACTCCTCACGTTCATTCATTCGCCTCATGAAGAAGAAGAGAGAAGCCCGACAGATGGAAAAGGCTCTGGCAGAGAAAAAAGAGGTGGGAATGATGAGAGGTTCCTGTGGCATGGTTGGGAGAGCGACTTGAGGCTTTTTGGAGGGTGGCGCCAGCAGGCAGGCGACTGGTTCTGGGTGTGGGCACCCATGTCACCCTCATTGTGGTGTTTCCAGGAATTCAGGGAGAGGATGGAAGTCACTGCCAGCCAGTGGAGGGACCTACATGCCAAGAAGGCTCAGCTGAAAGCCCATGTGATGAGATCTGAAAGGGTTATACAGGTACACCAGATGACATGACCCTCGGCCAGACCAGCTCCTTCCCTTCCTTGGGGAAAGGAATCTTGGGCTAGCACTCCTGTTCAAGCCTCCCTTGAGCCTGGAGGCATGAGGAACAGGACTGACGGGGCATAGGGTTTTGTATCACTGGTATGCAAAGCCCTGCTAGGGCTTGGGTGGGAGAGAGCTTACCCTGCAGCAGTGTGATTTTCTGAGGGCCCCAAATGTCCCTCAAGAAGGGTGTCAGCCTTGTCCCCACTGTTGACACCCAGGTGTCTTCCAGGGACAGACACAAGTAAGGCTGAAAATCAGAATCCTATCCCAGGTGCCTCTATCCAGGACCAAAGAGTCAATGCAAGAGGGATGGCCCTATGAAACAGGGAGGGAAAATATTCCTGGTGTGTTACAGTACTGCTCTCTCCTCTATGAAGGTATGTCCTTCCAGTACTGCTAAGTGATCCAGCTCCATCTTCCCTTGCCTTCCTTTTCCTCTCTCTGTATGTGTGTGCATTTGCATGTGTGTTTGTGGGGAAAACCACCAGGAAAGCGAAGAGGTGCGAATCCGATCTCTGAAGAGAGCGAGCAAGGAGACAGAGGAGAGATTGCAAAATGACGGTGAGTTTTTGAGAGCTAAGATAGAACTGGAAACCTTCAGAAAAGAGCACCAGAAACTTCACAAAAAAGTGCAGAAGTACTTAATCTTCAAGAAATACCTGGAGGATGTGGTGATGATGTCACAGGTGAGTTTGGATGTGAGCAAGGCAGATCATGGGCTTGGGGAGGACTTATGTAGGTGTTAAAACTAGAAGAAAGAAAACAAGTCCAGGACAGTGGAGACCTCAGATACGACGGGTTCCTTGCAACCAAGGTGTCCCACAGGGGGCAGAATTAAGGTAGGAGAACCAGAACAGGAAGTGAAGGCTTGAGAAAAGCAAAGAAAAACTGTGAGAGGGGGAAAAGCTCAGGGCTGAGGGGAATGGGAACCCTTTTGTGTCACTGTTTCAGGTTACATTGATGTTTTGGGAGAAGAGAAAAGCTGCCTGGGAACAGGACTCAGGCAGTTGTCAAAAAAGGCTGTGCCCTCAAGGATAATGGGGAATCACTCCATGCATCTCTCGTACTCCTACTGCCCCAGCTGTGGCGTCTCATGTCCCAGGGATGTGGCACCATCAGCTGCAGTTGCACTTTGTGTTTTATCAGAGCACAGCTCACCTGGGAAAGATCTGTGATATCTCCCCTCTCTTATGGCAGTGACAGCTCTGGGTAGGGAACAGTAGCATGTTATCACACAGGGAACGAAGTAATGCTTAGCAACCAGCTGGGGCACCAGTTTCATTCAGAATCACAGAATCACAGAATAGGGTGGGGGAAGAAGGGAAGACCTTTCAGCTGGGGGAGGCTTTGGCCCTGGTAAGGGCAAGGTGCCAAATGGTACAAAATCTGCAACCGGAGAGGAGATGGCAGGGGGGTATTAACACCAGGAACCCTGCACTGCAGTTGGAGGACATCCCAGGAGTCACTTCACATTACAAGTTCCTGGTGAGGACACACAAGGACCTTCTACAGTCTCAACTGAGGCACAAGGACCTGACTGAGCAAGCCAAGGTGTTCCTGGAACAGTACAGGGCAGAGAAAGAATCTGAGATGCTTCAGTACAAAAGTGAGCTGGTGCAGCTCAAACTACGTTTTGACCAGGCTCAACGTGACATCCGTCTCTGGGTACGGAAGTGTGGGATGGGCAGAGGAAGATCTCCAAGGCCTGGCTCTGTCAAGGCTGTCTGATAGCTAATCCTTCAGCCATGAGGTCATGGAAGGGCCCAGTAGCAGTTTTGTGATTGGAGGATATTCCTAATTTCATCCCTCCTTGGGGTTGCAGAAGAGAGAATGACAAACCATGTCTGGAGCAGGTTTGCCATCAGGCAGAGCTGCAAAGCCCCTGGTCTAGGAGGGTGGAAGTGGCATGTGCTGCTGCCAGTGTATCAGCAACCCTACTATAGGTAGTGTGAATGGGCCCTGCAGGGAGGACATGTCAGAGTGACGACTGCAGGAGCTGGCAAAAAGATGGGGAGGTTCCTAGGGCGAGGAGCACTTGTGGTGGTTCTTGGACTGCTTCCATCACACCAAGCTGAACCACCTCCAACACAGCCCTGGGCAAAGACAGGTTCTTCCTAGCCAGGCAGATGAGTGTGGAAGTTAGGGTCTCCAAGCCAGGGTCTCCAGTGCTGAAGCAGCATCTTTGTTGGAGCATGTCCCCATGAGGCATGTCCCCTCTCCTTCCAGGAGACTCACTGGGCTGACATCCAGAGCAGGACTGCTGGGGAAACCGGGAAGCTGGGGACCATCAAGCTAGCCATCCACAACATTTTCCAGTCTGCCGACATGTGGCTGAAAGAAAAGTGGAATGTGCCGTTGAATGACAGCCACAGACAGCTGGACATGGTAAAGCCAAAACCCTTCTCCCTGCCCAGAAAGAGGAGCACTAGTGACTCTCAGCTGCCCAAAGGGAAGGGAGAGCCCACAAGCCCAACAGAGACCTTCCATTTCACTTGGTCTCTCTCTCAGACATGGGAATGGGCAGGGGACACCAAACAAACCTGGCTTTTCTGAGAAGGTGGAGCAGGTTGTGGGTCCTTGCACGGCAGAAGAAGTGGAAGTAAGAAAGACTGGGGCAGGGGATACAGATCAAGCCATGGCCAAGATTTGTTTTTATTCACCCTCACCCTGAACTCAGACTTGCCCACACAAGGCCATTCTGGTGGTGCAGATCCAGCAAAACAAATGTCTTATTCTCCTGCTCAGTTTGGTTGGTGACATTCGTCCTCCAAAAGGACCAACAAGCCTCCCTCTGCCTCCAGTTCCCTTCCCTGCACTGAGCTCTGCCATCTCTCTTTCCCACCCTAGATACAGCTGTTCATCCAACAACTCAAAGACAGCTATGAAGACCGTGGATAGCAGCAAGCAGCTGCACCTATAAAGCCAGAGGGGATGTGACAGCATGACCTGTCCTGCCAGCAAAGATTCAGCAGGCTGGGAGGAGAAGGAGAAGGACAAGAAAACCCTACACATACTGTAGACTAAAATAAAACCCAACGAAGCTGCTTTAAGGTCTCTTTTAATTTCCTGGGTGGATTGGACGCTTTGGACCAACTCCATCCCACAGCTTCACCCACGCCATTGGGGTGCCTTCTTTGGCAGGATGGGATTATGGTTGCAGGGGACAGTGTTCTTGCAGGGCATGCAAGGTGGTGAGAACAGGCTGGGACTGGAGTATAGTCTTAAATAGGCATCAGTACTAGTGTTCACATTTGGTTGTCCCACTCAGCCTAAGCTTCATTTGAGAGACATGTTGCAACAAGGTGGGGAAACTGTGTTTCAGGAGAGCTTCAGAGAGTTTCCAACACAACACCCAGCATATTCATGGATGTGAATTTCTCTGCGCAGCCATGTGTTACTGTCGGAAGTTCACCTTCCCCATCAAACTGATAGGAAAAGTGTAGAGAATGGGCATAGGTGACAGATCAATCAGCCAAAGCTATCACACTGAGCATTTAGCTGCTCATCCTGTGTGCTACCATGATGAATGCAAAATGAAAGGACTAACAATGGCTATGGGGACACATTGTGGAGTTCAGGTCAGGCTCCACAGTCTTTTGAGGAGGACCTTTTAATGGACCAAGAAGCCAATGACATAATCTTAACAGATTTTGAGGCAAGATACCATTGGTCACATGCTCTTGCTCCTTACTCTCCAGCAGTTACTACTGTCCTGAGCCAGTGGACTTCCTGGGGGAAGAAGAGCTTCCAGGAGGAGATAAAACTCTCTTAGACTGGGGAAAGGTTGCACAGTGCAATGCATAAATGCTGTGTAAAATGCTGAGCTATGCCTAGGCTCTGGGTGGGATTCAGGAGGAGCAGGGCTGGAAATGGAGCATCTAGGGGCCGTAATTCAGAGGGCTGTTTCCATCTTCCTCATCTTTACCATGGTGCAGTGTCCTTGCAATTTCTGGGGGTTTTTGGGGCATGGCCTAGACGTAATTTGGAAGAATTAAACATTGGGGGAAAAAAAGCAATTCAAGTGTTTCAGTGTAGTGAGTATGAGTCCCAAGCTGGTGCTCTTTTTAGCCAGACAGGTTCTGCCATCCACGCTTGGTTTGATCTTCCAAAACAACAGGGTGTGAACTTTGATATTTCCACGTTGTATGGCAAGAAATAACGTGTCTGTAACAGTTTTAATCTTGGGTATTGCCTCTCCTCCAAACTTCAGAGATATATAGATATACACACCCTGCCTTCCCGCATGCGGACGGGTAATTAGGAAATAAAAAATCCTCTTTGTGTGTTAGTACACGTCCTTCTAAGCAATCCCATTTTCCATAGGGATCTCTATGGCTGAAATGCAGCTTTTGTTGTTACCCTGTGTACTTTGCAGTGTGATATGCTCATAAATAAAAAGTGAGACAAATTTCAGTACCTAGTCCTTTCACACAAGAGAACTAAATGAAGGCTTCAGAGCCCTGTGCTAACTCAGGAATGAATAATGTGTCTGACTTTCCTTACAGGAAATTTCAGGATGGTATAAAGTGAATATATTAGATTGACTGATCATCTGGATTGTTACCTTTGATTTTTTTAAAACATCTTTTCACGATAAGGGTAAAACCAACAAATTAAATCCTTTAATTAAAATCCTCTTGGCTGGGATATGAATATTATGAAAATGCTTGCATTTGCTGGCTATGCATTCAAAATGTGGATACAGAAATGCAGAGCCCAGACCTCCAAATGATAATATTTCTTCCACTATCCTGACATCAGCCTGGTCCAGTTGTTCGCATCTCCCCACGTCATACTGCCATAAGTGAGGAAATAATGCTTAAATCTAAGGCAGTTATAGAAAATCTTGGGTTTTTTTCTCCTTCTCTTCTCTTCTCTTCTCTTCTCTTCTCTTCTCTTCTCTTCTCTTCTCTTCTCTTCTCTTTCTCCTCTTCTCTTCTAATTCATAAACACCTCTTTTTAAATAAAAATTAAAAAACCAAACCCTTACACTATTGACTGAGTCAAGACAGTGTAGTGCCTCTGTTTCTGCTTTAAATTTTAATGTAATTTTTTTTTTTTTTGTGACATTAATTGGGTTACTAAAAGTGCTGGACATAGGCTGAAATCTGAGTACATAACAGGATGTGTTATGCATTTGGTGAGACATTGGAACAGTTGCCCAGGGATGTGGCGGCTGCCCCAACCCTGGCAGTGTTCAAAGCCAGGCTGGATGAGGCCTTGAGCAATCTGATGTAGGGAGGAGATGTCCCTGCTTATGGCAGGGGATTGGGACTAGATGGTCTGTAAGGTCCGTTCCAACTCTTAAATTCTATGATTCTATGAATCCGTACAGTGGTTAAAAAGATCTGGGAAAAGTCATACTTGGAGTTATAATGAAATAATTCCAAAGTGTCTTCACTGAAATTAATGAGTTTATTTTGGATTCTTTCTCTTGTAAGTAGTAGATTGGCAGAAGCAGAGATAAGAAAGTGGTTTTCTCTTATATAGGAGAGAGAAAGAAAATAATGCAATCTAGGAATTGATGCAGAATTGGTCTCTGAAGAAAAACTTTAGCTTTCTATAACTTTTTTGCCTTATTGGACTCTTTGGGGAAGAAACAATTAAAAAAAATAAATGGAGAGGTAGAGCGGTGTGTGTGAGGGAGACAGGACTGGTTTGGTTTCAAACTTGCAATTATTTATGTGGTCTTCTCTGGTGACATGAAATTATTAATAACTGAAAAAAAACCCAAAAAGATGACAAGGGAGAGTACCCCAGCCCTGTCTCCAGCAGTCCCCAGCAAGGCAGGTCTTTCTCATGGAGCCAGTTAACCCCTCAGATCCACTCCCATTCCTCGTGCCACATGGCTGTAGGTTGTGTACAAATTAAAGACCAAAGGTGCTGCTGTTCCCAGGTTGGCCTTGGGGTCACTCTTCCATCTAGAAGCTCAAATCCTGGTGTGCAGCAAATCCTCCACTGTTACGGAGAATTGCAGCAAGTGCAAGTGCAGCCCAGTCATTTCATGTGAGTAAATCGGAACAAATTCCCAGGATTACTGCAATTTCATGATGTTTATCTCATGTTACACCCTGGGCTGCAGGGCGGGATGGTCCCAGTGTGCTGCTATACATGAAGCTGTACTCTGCTGCATCCAACCTAGACCTTTCCTGGAGCAACCTGAGACTGTTTTCACCTGTCCTATCACTTAAGAGTACTATAAATCTTGTACAACGTTGTAAGTTTGTGGCACAGAGAAGTTACTGCCAGGGAGCTGCAAATGACTTCAAGCACAGCTCTTTGCCTTAAAGGTGCCTGCACAAAGCTCCTGTACAGAGCAAAGGTGATAAATAACTGGATTTGTGCTGAGCTTGTGAAGGCTTCAGCTAAGGAAGGCTTGGTATTGATGGCTAATGAAAAACATAGTAATAAATGTGGTTGCTACATTTCAATTTGAAACATCTGAGGTGGAGGGAAGAGATTCCTGCTAGGAACTGAAAAGCTGAGCCTACATTTCTAGGATGCTATATAAGGTGGATACCTCAGGGCTGTGACAGGATGCTTGTGTAGGTCTCTGTGTTGGGCACCTTCCACATCTGCAAGATAAGGAAGAGCATTACCTTATCTCCCAGAACTATCTCACAGGGGTCATTTTCTGCTGCAGGAGATAACCTGTGTGCAGGGCAGGTGTTATGATAGCATGGCCAAACATGCCCGATTTCATACAAGCTATTGTTGTTCCTTTTGGCCTCATGGTTTTCTTGCAGGTTTTCTTTTATTTATTTTTTTCTTCAGGTCTTCAAAGCTAGCAAGATCCATCAGCCAACACAGAATGGCATCAATTGCTCAGCATTATTTTAAATTATTTTTTTATATTAGCAAGACCAACCCCAGGAAATTCTCACACAATTTCCCTCTGCCTCTGCTCCTTCTCCTTCTCCTCTGAGTACATCTCAGAGAGTAGCTGATCTGTGGTACCCCAGAGAGGCCTGGCTAAGCCCTGTGACACTGGTAATGTTAATTTCTGTTAGTGCAACCCAGAAGTTTGTTTTATAACTACCAGTAGGGTGTCAACAAGGATGAAGAGATGTAGAGCTGAATTTGATCACTGGTGGTAGACTAGATGATCTTTAAAGGTCCCTTCCAACCAAAAACTATTCTATGAATTAATATGTAGTTGGTGATTTCAGATCACATGGTGCAAGTAGCCATGTAATAGATTCTCGAAGCCCAAACATATCTCTCCAGGTCACAGATCCACTGGTATACATTGGGAGAGCTGACTGGAGAAGTGCACAGTAGGAACATTGATTAAGTCTCCAATTCTCATGTATTGTAGTTAAAAACCCTTTTGCTGGTAAAAGTGGTCACCAAAAGCCCTGAATAGTACATATACATGCAATGCA